TTTACTATTTTGAGGTTGATAACCAACATTCGTTCTTGAGATATGAGCAAAAACAAAAAAATAGCTATTCTCAAATCGTTCTAAATCTTGTTTACTGTTAAAAAAGACGATTTAATTTAAATAATTCTACCATTTCGTGGTAGCTGATTACAAAGTTTAATAGTGTATGAATTCATTGAGTTACTTTTCTTGCTGAAAAAAATGTCAAACTCAAAAATAAACTACATATTACAAAATATTTGTTTATTGTTCATTTTTTCCTTTACTCAACATTTTTCTTCACTTTCCGCCCCCCTGGATAATAACAACACTGAAAAAAAGATACCATTATCAAATTAGAATCCATTATAATAATATCATCATCAGCAACAGTAATAACAATAAAAAAAATGTCATTCCGAGATGTTATCAGAGAAAAGAAGGGAGGTTCAACATCACCTTCTCTATCTAATAATAATAATAATAATAACTATGATAATTCTAATAATAATAATAATATGAGAAAACAAGCTGTAACTTCTAACGGTATTAGTGGTGGTAATAGTGGTAATAATGGCAGTGGTGGACGATCATCATCTAAACAACAACAACAACAACAATCAACGACATTTAAATCATCATCACCTAATAATAATAATCAAAATAATCATCAAAATAATTATAATAATCAAAATCAAAATCAAACAGATCAAGAAGAAGAATTTTCAGAAGTTTGTTCAGAAATTGAAAAATTATTATCTGAAATTAATAAGGCAACACTTTCTATACAAAAATCTACTAATACTATATTAGGAACAATTAAAGATACACATGAACATAGAGAATCACTTTCAGTTATAATTAAAAAATCTTCACAAAAAGTTGAAAATTTATCAAATTTAATTATAAAATTAGAACATTATGAAAAATTATTTAAAAATTTAAATTTACAAAAAAAGAAAATTGAAAAATTAAAAAATCAAATGGATCAAATTTTACAAGAATATAAAAAACAAACAACAAATTGTTTAAAAGTACAAAAAGAAACTTTACAACAATTTCAAAAAAATCAAGAATATTTAAAATATCAATCAAGTGAAAATTCATCTTTATTAAATAATTCCTATAATGGAAATAAATATCAATTACAAGATGAACAATTAGATAATGAAATTGAATTTAATACAAAAATATTAATTGAAAGAGAAAAAGATATAATTGAAGTTGAAAATTCAATTAGAGAAATTAATGGAATTTTTAAAGAATTACATTTTTTAACAATTCAACAAGGTGAAGATTTAGATTTAATTGAAGATCGAATTGAAGAAACTTCTTATAGAATTGAACAAGGAAAGGAAAATATTGTAAAGGCTGAAAAACATTCAAAAATTGGTAGAAATTTATTTTGTATTTTATTATTAATATTTTTAGCTTTGGGTGCTGCCATTGCAATTGTTTTGATTGTTTTAAAAGTTGTTGGAATTATTTAATATAATAAATTATTATTTAAATATGTGTTTTTATATATATTTAATTGTTATATGTTTTATTATGTTTTATATACTAGAATGTTTAGATTGATAGTTTATTCTAATAGATTGGAATATAAAATGTTAATCATCAATTCATCATTTGAATTAGTTGTATCAGCAGCTGCTGTAGATTGATTATTCACCTCAATTAAATGTTTCAAATCAAATGTAATATTTAAATTATTAAAAAATGTTTTTAAATTATTACCATTTAATAAATATTCTAAAGAGGGACATGTATTATACTTGTTAATATAATTATTAATTAATTCAATACCATATTTAGCAGTATTATTTTCGGATTGTTTTTTATCTTTACCTTCTCCATTAATAAATTTAATATTATTTAAATAAATAATTGTAATAAAATCAAAATTGGATTGAATTGTTTCATATATAGGTAATAATTTATAATATTTTTGTAATAACATTTGTAATTGTGTTTTATATGGTATTTGAATATTATTTGGATCAATTTCAATTTTACATATAATATTATTATATATAAATTTAGAATATATATCAATTATTTCTATATTAGTATTATTTAAATTATTATTAGTATATAAATTATTATTTGAATTATTATTAAATTTATAAAAACCAAATTTATCTAAATAAATAGCAGCAATTAAAGATTCTAAAACATCACATTTAATATTTTCAATATTAATTAAATTATTATCAAATAAAATAAAATTAGAAATAAAATTATTTAAATTTAAATTATTATTATTAATAATTAATTGTTTTAAATTTGTTAATTCATTTTCATTTAAATTTGAATATTTTAAAAATAAATATAAACAAATTATAAATTTTAAAATTGAATCTCCTAAAAATTCTAATCTTTGATAATTAAATTCATAATTATTTACTATAAATGGTAATTTAAATGATTGATGTGTAATTGATTCTAATAATAAAAATTTATTATTAAAAACAATTCCAATTTCCTTTTCTAATAAATTTAATTTATAATTTAATTCATTATTTAATTTATATTTATATAAATTTGGAATTTCATAACTATGATAATTATTTTTAATTTTTATATTTTTTAAATAAAATTTTAAAATATTATTTTTAATAAATAAAATACAAAAATCTAAACCTTGATCTAAAAATAGACCACCAATTAATCTTTCAATTATATCTGAAATTATTTTATCATTTAAATTAATTTTATAATATACATATTTATCTATTTTTAATAATTTACCAATTTCATTTAAATTTTGATTTGAAACTATTTTTGATCTTTGCCTAGTTAGGAAGTTTTCATTTTCATTTTTAAAATTTTCAAATAAAAAATGTGAAATTATAATTTCTAAAATTGAATCTCCTAAAAATTCTAATCTTTGATTAAAATTATTATTATTTTTAAATATG